TCAAAAACTCGCCAACTTTGATACAAATACGATTTACTTTTATTTTCATAAGGGTCAGCTATGCACCAATAAAATAGTAAAAAAGTTTTACCGCCGATTGGGCTTCTTCAATCGGTTCCTGTACTACTCACTGAATGAACAATATCTCTTAGTATTTTATAGCTTACTTTTTTTAAAGTCAAAACGCAGGTACTGGGATCCCTGTGCTATACTAAGGTACAGTTAATGACATCGTTGCGTGACTCGATGCGTGACTAGGGACCAGACGTGCGAGTAGAGGAAACCAGAAACTTGATGGGTTCAAACCGCGAAGAAACGAAGCAAAAGCAGACATGACTGCAGATCCTAGCGTCTGTTTACAGCCGCGGGAGTCGAAAGATCAGGTGAGAGCACATGAAGATGCATGATTGAATTATGACTTGGTTATATACTGCTAAATTTCCTCAATTACTTCACCAAAACCTTGAGATTTCGCAATGATTTTGAGCTGTTTTTTCAACTCTTTGCAATCTCAAACGTTTGAACAAAAGTTCAATGCTTCAATGTTTCAATGTTCAATCACCATTATTCGTGAAATATTCAAAGATGATGCTCTTTGAAAAACATTAACCAAACTTTCACCTAAGCCCCTGCATCAACACCTAACTTGTTTTGATTTCTTAGATTATTGCGTATATATATTCCTATAGATAGTAAAGTGAAACTATTTTGTCTTCATTTCCATGTAGGATTTAAAACAAATAAGTATGGCTCCGCTATATACTTGTGGTGACACTTTGCAAAAGGAAGTAGGGTTGACCAGACCCCTAAAATCGTTTTCAGCGATTTTACTCTGGAACAGGGTATAGTTTTCAGCGATTTCACTCTGGAACAGGGTCAGCGTTTTGAGGTCCCAGCGGCACACCCCCACCCAAGTTTGGGGGGAGTGCCCCCCCCCCTCCCCAGGGACCAGACCAGAGGGGATTGGATTCGTGGTTCATAACTTAATGATCGGAATTGCTTCTTAGTTAAATACATGTCGTTATCAGCAATTACAGCTTGTCTCCATTTATTATCATGATAAGCCATATTTATCCAAGTTGTACATATTTTTATCATTTCAGGAGATGTCACACAGCAACTGGTTCCTGGAAATGATTTCTTACCCACTTCAAAAAAAGTTATCAATGCTTGAATCATTCACAGCTATATCTGCATCAGCTGTCTACCTGCCGATAAACTTGTTT